TTGTTCAACAATCTCCAACTTGCAGCAAATGAAAAATATTTTTCTGGCAGAGTTTCAATTATCTGACACATCAGTAACAAGTCACTGTTTTCATCTTTTCTTAACTCAACCTTCAAATCTTTCCAAAGATTCTTGAGTTTTGTAACATGAGTGACAACATCATCGCTTTCATCCATTTTATAACTAAAGAACTTCATGCGTATGCTTTATCTTCATTAACTTCATCATACAATCTGTGAAGTTCTAACCAAACATCTCTGGCATTACTGAATGAACGAACTTTTTCATACGTTTCATCGGTCATGTTGGTTGACAGAATAATCATAGCACTACAATCTGCTTTATTGAATCTGGTCAAAGCAGTTTGATATTTTGCTATCTCATCATTATTTGAGTCATCGTTTAATTCATCTGGAACTTTTAATTTGCCCTTTATTACGTCCATTGCATCAGGAATGCCGCGTAGTATTATACAAACTCTCGACTTCCAGTTCAACCAATTACTTTTACCTTCTAGGTGTTTGATATGCACTTTTGTTAGATCCATTTCTTCCTTGTCTTTCAATTTGACCTTTTAATTGGAAGCAAAATATCGACTTTCAGAGAATGAAGAAGCATGTGTTTTTTCTTCACTTCAGTCTTCACAAAGGAATCTTCCGATATTTCTTTATTCTAAATTTTCTTCGTCAAATCAATTAATTAAGAAAAACGTTATCTGGGTCCCATAACCTGTTAAATTTCTTGTCACGTAGATCGTTTAATTAATTGATATAATATTGAAAGACATTAAAAGAAGAGAAATAAACTAAGCAACGTTCTCGACTTGTTTATTATCCACCGGATAAACAGAAAAGGAAATCAATCAATCAATCAATTAGCTTATAAAGCGCTATTTCCGCGATGTTCAACAGCGCTCCTCAATGAATTTTGAAAACAGATGGGTCTTGAGATCCGCTCTGAACTTCGCAAGTGATGGAGAAGTAGTCAGAGAAGTAGGTAGAGAGTTCCAGAAAAAAAGTGAAGTTACATACAAAGCAAAGAACATTTGGTCCAAAGAAAATAAATATATATCATAAATCATAATGTTTAATT